CGCCCGGGCTGGGCTGTGCCACCGGGAACCCTTGCCTCCCCACCCACCCCTTTACTTTTCCAGAACCTGGGCATTCGGCCCTGAAACATGACAAGGTGTTCACAGCAGGATCACGGGGAAGAGGCCTGCTTATTTAGCACATTTCTGCACAAGAGGGGCCCTGGCATATTTTTCTCATTAAACTGTCCCAGCCACTTCATGATGTCGGTACTATTTAAACCCCATTATACAGATGAGGGAACTGAGGCTCCAAGGATGATTCCAAGGTCATGAAACTCCTAAGTAGCACAGGTAGGATTTGAACCTGGGTCTAAGAGGCCCCAAAGCCTACACGACATAGTCCCTAGGGTTTGTCCTAAGGAAGCAGAACAAACAACCTCAGAACCAGGATGCTTCCCATGGTTCACACCCTCATTCCATCTTGGAGAATGCAAGATGAACAGCCGCTCCCCTGCGGCCCACCTTTCCATGTGAAATGCCCTTTCCATGCCCTTGTTTTTGGAGGCGTCACTGGTCAGAAATCTTCCCAAGGAGACTGGTGCTGAGGCGTCCCGCCAAGCCTGGGCGTGGAAGGGTGTGGGCGTGTCTTTTTGCCCCCCGCCCCCCCATCTATTCTGCAGCCTCCTGGGCCTGACCATTGATTCCCAAGCCCACCCAAGCTGGGGAAGCGAAAGGCAGTCCTCTCTCAAAGACCCGTAGGTGGGTGGCTAGCTGGGCGACTAGCTGGCTGTCTAATTCCTTGCGTCCTGCTTTGCCCAAGGCATCAGACAGGAGCACCAGTCTGGTGAGGGCAGCAGGAGGTTTCCTGGCAGAGGAAGCAATCACCTACCTAAAAACAGCTCTCTATAAAAACGCTCCACTTGGAACTAGGAGCTTGCAGAGAATGTGCTATGGCTGCTGTTATTTATTTATACCTCCACCTACTTCCAGAAAGGCTCTGAAGTTGCTTACAATAAAAAACAGAGCCACGTCTGTGTAGAGTGGAAATCGAGCACAATCAGAGGAGAGACTCCATGGGAGCCGCATTTCTCCCGCAAACGGGCCCTGTGCCCCTAAAGGGGGCCAGGCTGCCTGTGCTGAGGGATCAGACTGGGGGTCGCACTTGTATTTCCATTTTCCTCCCGGGTCAGGAGGGGTAGAGAGTCCCTGCAAAGTGCTCAGAATGATGTGCTCATTGGGGACGGATGGTGTCTTGTCCCCAAAGAGGGGTGAACAAGAAGGGGCCCTGGCTGTCCTTGGGCGACCCACTTGCCTTGGGCAGAAGCAGACCCTGAGACTAGGAGTTGAATGCCAAGAGCCTATTTGGCAAGAGACCCCGGGAAGCCTGGAGGAGGAGTGGGCGGGGGCTGCTGAGGGCAGGTGGCCAGTGAAGATCCTGCCTGAGGCTCCACCTTACTGAGGAACTCGGGAGATGGCTTAGAGAATGCCCAGGAGGCATCCTGCTCCAGGGGAAAGGAGGCTGGGGCTTTCCCCCACTGGCTTCTCTTGGTCATGGAGTTGGGCCTCTCCCAGGAGCATCCTTGCCGCACACGTGAGCCAGGAGCCCTGCAGCTCTGGCTGCCAGAGGAAGCCTTGGGGCAGGTTCCCTGGGATTGCAGTGAGGGCCAGCCAGGGCCCGGACAGCCCCTGCAGCACCCTCCCGGAAGGTGGGGCAGGTGGCCCCTGAGGCCGCATGGAAGCAGGTGGAATTAGACCTATGGCGTAATGAGCAACCCCATGGAGAGGCTACTAATTTTAGGATTTCAGAGGGAGGCCTGGGGCAGGGAGGGTGGTAGAGGCCCCCATGAGGCTTCTGGGGTGGGATGGAGGTGTGCTGAGGAACAGAGGACTGTCCTGAAGGAGCACGATGCCCCCAGGGCCTGTGGGAAGCTGAGGCCATACCAGGATGTGTGTCCTAGGAGGGGAAAATGCTGTGCTTTGTGTCTGTCTGCTGTCCTCAAGCCTAGAGTGGGCACCGTTTCACCTGGTCACCAGGTGAGTCAGAGCCTGGCCGACTGAGTTGGCCACACTGAAATATCCGCACCGGGGCACCTGACACAGTGGCAAATGATCCCCGGGACTGTCATACAATGTCTCTTGCCTTGTGACCTGGTTCAAAAGATTCCACTTCCAGGAAGCCCTCCTTACTCTGACTGTTTTGTTTCACTCCGTCTCCTCTGGAGCTAATGGTTGGATTCATTCCTGGGTAACAGCCGCCCCTCTGGCCTAGATGCCCCACGGCTCCCACTCCCACTCCACCTTGCTAAGCACCCACCTGAGGCATTCTGTGGGTAGTGTGGCTGTCAGGGGGGCTGTCCCCCTGCAGTCAGACTGTACAAGTGCCACGTGTGGACTGCAGACACAGGGAGAGTTATTTAGCCCTTCCACACCGCAGTGTCCTCACCCCCAATCTGGGAAAAATAATATTCAGCCTCTGCTTACTCATCTGTCCTGCAGGGGCAACGGTGCCCACCTCACTGAGACCTCACAAGGAGTAAGGAGAAGAGAGTTAATATGTTTAAGCTACTTAGCATGGCCCCTGGGACATAGTAAAGGCTCAATAAATATTAGCTGTAATAATAATAATAATAATAATGATAAGAATAATAAAGACTCCTGGTCACAAACTGTCCATTTCTCTCCACTATTTACAGACTATAATACAAATTCTTCAGTCAGCACTCCAGACTCTGCAAAGGTTTTCTGTTCTCGTTTCCCACTTGCTCTCAACTTAACGTGACCCCACCATCCCAAGCCCCTGTTCTCTCTGCTCTTCTCCTTGTGGCCATTCCCGTGGCCCCGCTTCCGTCGGTTTCCCTAGTTCCTAGGTCAGGACACGCTCACCTTGATACTTAGCCCAGCACAGTGCCTGGAACACAGTATGCAATCAATAAACACTCCTGCAGGGAATAAACAAGATGCTCCTTCTGCTGGTTGTTAATCACGTCACTTCTCTGCAGTGCTGGGATGAGGCCAGGTCACACCCAGCAAGCGGGTGTGTGGTCACATCACTGCTGCGTAGCTATTTCCAGGTCCCATCATAGAAGCTTTACATGAATTGTTTCATTTCATCTTCCTAACCATGTTCTATGATCCCCACCTTACAGATGGGGAAAATGAGGCTGAGGGAAGCCAAGTAGCTTGGGCACAGTCACATGGCTGATCGGTGACTGAGCAGGTTTAAACCCTATTCATCTGATTCCAGCGCCCTTGCTCTTGACAGATGGCATCACTCTGCACTACCTCTTGGATCACAGGCCTGCTCCATATCCTGAATTGACATGACAGCTCCCATACGGTGTCCAGCCTTGTCTTGCTCTGTGTCTGCTTTGCTCTGGGACACTGCTTCCCAGGCTCCATGAGGGCTTGTCCACTGAGTCCAGCACCTCCCTCGGCCTGGCAGGTAGGTTAACAGCTTCACCGATTAAAGAGTAGGGCACACCAGAGTCTCTCTCCTTCTCCCTGACACCAAGGGCCTGGGTGGGTCCCAGAAGGTCATTCTCTGTCTTGCTCCTCCAAGTGGGTTCATGGCCTTTGCTATGCAGAGTGTGGTCTGTATGCTAGCAGCACCAGCAGCACCTGGGAGCTTGTTAAGAAATGCGCCGCCCAGACCTGCTGAATCAGAAGCTGCATGGGATGGGAATGCCAGGCGCTTCGTAAGCACATTGCAGTTCGGGAAGCCCTGTTCTGGGTTCTTCCTCTGCTTCCTGAGCCAGTCTTTGCTTTGGCCGGTGAGCCTAAGTCCAGCGCCGGCCCTTCAGGAGCTTCTGCCACCAAGCGCGCAGCCTCCTGCTCACCTGAGAAGCTGCCCTGGCATGTTCTAGCAACAGTTTCCACGGCCGACCTTCTGGGCCTGCTCCTGGCCTCCATTCCTGTCCCACAGATAAAACTGTGGCACCCACACCCAAATGCGTGGCTGTGTACGTCTCAAGACTCACCTCACAACTGTGGCTCTCCCGTCCTTTTTTCTGTCTGGCAATGCTATTGCATCTTTTTATGTTTGTGACCTTTCATACTGTTCTTTTCCTAGCGCACAAGCCACCACAACAGCAAATGCTGCGATATTTGCATTTTCTAGAAAAGTATGTTTACTAGCATCTAGGCAAGCAACATAAGCCACTTAAAGAGATCAGAACAACTTTCAAGTTATATTCATTCCTTCCTTCTTTCCTTCATTCATTCACTCAACAAATATTTACTGAGTGCCACACATCATAAATATACATCCAGGAACAAAACATATGCAAAAAAACTTAAAAAAATTAAAGTGCCTCCTGATGTCGCTACCATCTGATCCCAGACCAGGAAACACACTGCGATCCCACTTTCTCTCCCTCCCTCTTTTCTTTATTTCTAACCTCAGTGAAAGCCATTCCCAGCAGAGTACTGGCAGAAAAGGGGGCCCACCCACCCACCCACCTACCTGGGGAAGGGCCACACCTGTTTTGTGCTTTTCCAGGCCTTGGCTTTGGGGTTATAAACAAACCCTCCCAGAGGCCAGACCCTGGCCCAGGGGAGAGCCCCCATAATCTTGGGTGCGCCTCACAGTTGGATTAGTGTCTTTAAAAGATTGATCCCTTTTCCCCTGGGTTCCCAGTGGGCTCTGTACAGGTGTCTGACATGACCCAAGTCACACCTCACTGGCTTCACTTGTCTCCTTCACCGGAGCTCAAGTCCCTGCAGGCAGCAACCTTATCTTAATCACTCAAGTCGCCAGCGCCTCCCACACAGCCTGGTATAAGGTACGTGTGCAGTTCGTGTTTCTTGGGTGAACGCACACACACCTGACTGAATTGGAGGAAACACCAGCCTGCTCAGAGAGTGCAAAGGCTACGTACTACCGGCAGGAGGATGGTGGCCACTGCGCAGCGCCTGAGCTGACGTGCATGTCCTGGGCCGAGTTTGGGTGGAGGAACCCTCCAGGCCCAGGGCAGAGGGCGCGTGTGTGTGCGCATGTGTGCACAAGGGCCGGTGCCCACCCTCCCAGCTGCCCGGGTGGTGGTGAGGGGAGTGTCCCTTACCGTGGTGTATTTTCCCAGCTGGCAGAGCGAGGGGAAGGTTTCCTGGTGCGCTTTTCGGATCTTCTCTGTGAGATCATCCAGCTCAGCTGTCATTTCATAGCTTTCTGTGCATTCCTGCTTCGAAGGCTCCTTCTTTTTCTTGTTTCTGTCATTCCTGACAGCTGGAAACGAGAGAGAAGGCAAATCAGGGGTCACTGATGGCTGGGCCCGCGCTTCCCGATGCTTTGGATTCATTGGACACTGGGAACAGGAACGGCAGGAAAAGGTGCTGTAGACACATCTAGGAAAAGAGGTTGGCGGCCAGGGGGGCTGGGCAGAGAGTGACATTTGTCTTTCTGTGTGAGCACATGTCACCCAATTCTGAAGGAATGCTTGTGCTGGCCCAGCAGCCTGACAGTGTCTATTGGTTTGGGAAGAACTTTCTGTGCGGACAGGTCCTTAAGAGAGAATCTCCCCACTCACGGTCCCCTCAGCTCAGGGTGGACTGCCTGCAAGGCATTACCAAGGAACCATTTTTGCCTGGGAAACACATCCCCAAACAAAGCCCTCGTGGCATCATCATTGGTGATCCCAAACTAAGCATTATGATTTTGTTTTTGGTACTTCTTTCTCACCTGTGGGCATTTTCCCATTGCTTTTTAGAGAGAGAAGAAGTGACAGAGGAAGGGAGAAAGAGAAATATCGGTGTGAGAGAGAAACGTCAACTAGTTGCCTCCCATACTCGGCCAGACCAGGTATTGAAGGAGCTCTGTCCCAGGATTGAACCTGCAACCTACTTATGTGCTCTGACTGGGAATCGAATCCACAACCTTCCGGTTATAGATGATGCTCCAACCAATGGGGCCATGCTGGCCAGGCTAAGCTTTCTGTTTTGATATTTTGCTTTTTAGTTTCCTGAATTTGCTGACTGGCATTTTTCAAGAAATTTACCTTAAAGGTAATGGGATTAGGATTTTTGTATCTCTGTGCTTTTCTGTTTCCTAGACTTTCATGTTAATCATATGTCTTATTATTTAGCAAGTTATTTAAAAATAATAATCTGTGTATTTTGAGCCCTTGACCTGGAAAACCATTCATTCATTCATTCATTCACTTATTCATCCACAGCCGCTTGGCCCCACACCTTGTCTGGCCCCCTGGGCCCTCAGCAGGTGAGTGTGTTGGGCTCAGCAGGGCCCACTGAGCTCAGCGAGGGGCTGAGCCAGGGCCTGGACCCGGGGGCTGTGGAAGCCCGTGCTTCCTCTCACAGCACAGGCCTCTCGGATGACTTCAAATCCGAGTGTAACTCAAAGCTCTGGCCTATGGCCTGGATCTCCCGGGGAAGGAAACTGAAACCCAGCGAGGCCAACAGGTAAGACTAGCCCATGTGCCCACACCGGCGGGGGGCGGGGGGGGATGCTGCCTGGCTGTGCGTGTGCCACCAGGAGCTGGGAATCTGTGCTGCAAAATGACCCTGGGCATAATCTGATCCGCCCTAAGAGGTGGGCGGGGGTGGGGGAGTGGGGGTGGTCTGCCTCCGGAGAGCACCGGTGACCCGAGAACTGGCAGTTCCCTCGGTTTACACCGAGGGCATCCAGAGCCCTGCTTGGGGCTACAGCTGAAGGCAGAACCGAAGGCAGGCATGGGAAAGGAGACACTGGGAAAGGAAAGAGATAGTAATGGAGAGGGAGGGAGAGAGGGAGAGAGAAAAAAGGGGGGAATGAATGGTACTTAAAAACCCCAGTGTCCACATAAGCTTCTCACACCTGACCAGGAGGCAGGGCAGCTGGGAAAAAACAATCCACATTTCTTGAGTGTCTTGAGCATGCATAGGATCTGTCTGCAGTCACTCACTTAACCCTCTTATCAGGTAGGCAATTCAAAACCCATTTTACAGATAAAAAAACTGAGCTTCAGAGAGGCTAACGTGCCCACGTTTACACAGCTGACAAATTCTTTCCTCACTTGGACTCATGTGGAAGGAAGTGAATGTTTGAGAAGAAAACAAAACCTCCCAGATGACCATCTTCCCCAGGACTCTGAAATGACCCTGTTCTTTGGCTCAGAACATTTCCAGATCTAGAACGAGTGGGTACGGACGGGGTGCGGTAGCCCCACCCTGGGGGCAGTCTTCTCCATGTGCCGGGACCACTCCCCGCAGGTCTGGAACACAGGGGGAGGGTGGCGTAGTTTACAGCAGGGAGAACACAAAGAGCACAGTCAGCAAAGGAGAGACAGGGAGGGAGGCAGGGGGTAGCGTGTGGGGTAGAGACGCCGCCGTGTCCTTCTACACAGACGGAGCCCGGGTGTGCGAGGGGAGGCTATAGCCTGAAGGCTCATGTGTGAGCGCAGGGGGCTCTCAGTGCAGGCCCTCAGACCCCCTCCTTTCCTGGGTCCTGCCAATGGCCCTCTTCTTCAGCTAACCCAAAAGTCATGCCAGAGTAACGACGGTCCTTCCAAAACAAAGCCTTGAGGACAGGAGCTTGGCAGTGCACGGGAGGCAGGAAAGGGGCACATACGGTCACCATCATGAGGTAGGGGGGGACAAACACTGTTCCTCAGGGTCCTCGCCTCCTCGAGTGTGGATATCTGGAAGGCGAGGGCCGTATTTTACTAGTCTCTGTGTCCCCAGGGTGAATACAGCATCGGACACACAATGGGGGCTCAGACACAGTTTCCTGAAGGACAAGATGAGCAGGTGACTAAACGTGGGATTTTGTCAGCTGTCAGGGCCTCTGTGTGGCCACACAGAGCTCACCTGAGCCTCTTTCTTCCAGTCACTGAAGGTCTCATCATTGGGCCTGCAGGGACTCATGCCCTATTCCCCAACCTGCAGGAGGGGCCAGGAGGTGGATAAAGCAGGCGGGACATCCAAAGGGTCTCGAGCGTGATTTACACACCTGGGAGAAGCTGGCCCATGTAGGCAAAGCGCTTCTCGGATGAAAGGTGCTCCATAAAATATCAAGTATTCTCCTCGTGAGGGCTAAGTGCTACAAATCAGATTTGGTGGCATAAAAGTAACGTATTTATGAGCCACTATCATACTGCAAATGAAATGAATGTAATAAAAGTGTCACTTATACAAATACCTCTGATGTACGGATCTCGACCTATGAATATGAAAACAGACACCCCAGCACTTTTATTTGAATGTCTAATCATGGAAATAAATGAAGTCATGTTCATTTTAATGTGTGCACTTGTGCATGTATCTGGAATATTGATTTCTATGCACACAATAAAAATGCAATGCAGGAAACATGCAAAAGGTGGGGATTTCACTTGGGTTCAGGAAGAGATGAAAACAACACTACTGAAAACTTCTTCATGACAAAAAAAATCAGAAAGGAAGGAAGGAAGGAAAGAAGGAAGGGAGGGAGGGAGGGAGGGAGGGAGGGAGGAAAATACAATCGACAGCGCTCTTGTCCATAATATTTTCTATATTCAGCTTAGCAAAGAAAGTATAATGGTCTATTTATTCTTGCCTGAACACCAAGGTCTGGAATGTGTTCTTCTTTATTCTTAACCTCCTCGCTACCTGCAAGAATCATGGGCCAGAGTTGGGGATTAGGGCTACCTGGCTGCTGTGCGTGGGAGAGAGCCTATCACTGACATGCAGGTATGCTTAAAAGAAAAACACAAAAATATTTTCAACTGAGGTTAAAAATCATTGTCTAAACTAATTATGCATATGAACTACTGGAGGATTTGAAGGCTGGTGGACCCATGATGGAGAGAGGCATCCTGTTCCCATGCTTTGAGGATTTGGGAGTTGGTGCTTGAGCATTTAACACAGTGGTCCCAACTGTAAAGCTGGGTAGGGTTGGGGGTAGTTAATACTCCAAGATCAGCATCTCCTTGAAGGTGGAGACTGGGATTCTCCTAATACTGTTCTTGCCATGTAAATGCTAGTAGATATTTGAACACACAGAGAAAGGAGGTTAGTAAACGAGGTTCCAGCTAAGTTTCCTCTGTCACTAATGAGTCACATGCCTTTGGGAACAGGCTGAGGGCAGGGGGCCCATGAGTGTCTGTTGAAATAGCAACCCCCAGAGGACTGCTCCGCACCTGCAGCATAGACACACACGTGCAAGGACTTTGAAACCATGTGACGGCCCATGCAAGTGCCATGTGGAAGGGATGGCTAACACTCACAGTGACAGTGACCGGGCAGGGGGCATAGTTAGAATTTTTACCGCATATTAAGTGAGCAAGTCTTGGGGCAAATAGTCTGGTCGTGGCAACCTGAGAGTTTAACTAAAGGATCTACCAACATAGCTCAGTTTCTGAAGTTATTCAAAGCACTTAGAGAAAATGGCTGATATGCGAGAATATACAAATACCAAATACTTCTTTCTACTTAAAGTGGTGCATTAAACTAATACGACTTTCAAGACATTTCTTAACACAGTTTCCTCTCACTGGTTGCTTTTAGATGTGGAGGTGTCACCTCCTCTCGAGTGGACAGGGTCCCCGTGGTCCTACCAGTGCTTTTTTCCCAGTGCCTTTTTCCTGTGTCGTCTGGCCAGTGTGGGCAGCCCTGCCATGGCTGTGTTTGTTTTGGGGGCAGGTCCACTGTGGTTGTCATCCTTGCAAGATGAGAGATTTAGAGTTCAGAGGCTCTGTTATAAGAGACAAATCCTTTTCTTTGGACAGGAGTCTTGTATGGATTATAGGAAATAGCATAAGTTCAACTCCAGAGACGAGGGAAGATTAAACATTCCTGCATGATGTGTCGAAGTAGGAGCTTGGCGAGGAGCGGCCCAGGAACCGCACGCCGCCCTGGGGACGCCTTTCCTCATAATCGGCAGGATTCCTTTACACCACGCCCGGCGGCAATGAGCCATGTCAGCGATGGCTGTCCTTCAATCCCGTCCACAGCGGGGTGCCTGTGTCCTTGGCCTTGTGTTTGTGGTAGAGCTGTCCAACACGAGCAGGGCTGTGATGAAGGTCTTTACTGAGGGCCCAAAACGGAACGCCGACATTGGAAATGAAAGACACTGAGGCTGGCCCTCTTCTTCGGTCAGGGGTAGCCTCGCACACCTTCCACCTGATCGATGTGCCTGGTGGTCCAAGGCCCCCGGTTTAGAAAAGAAGAGTTCGGTGACAAACATCCATAAGCCATGTTCGAGGGCAGGACATTCTTCGTTATCTCAAGCTGGAGTTCTCTCTGCCAAAGTTC